TTGGTAAAGGAAGTGATAGATAATGAAACAATTGCAGTATATTTTTGATACCTGCATATATATGTACATACCGCACGTGTGGTGCGGCAAATATTAACGCTGTTTTTGATAGACGTTTTTGTGCTGACCACGAATCCATAAGTGCAAAGTTCTGTTCTGAAAATGCCCTCTCTGCTCCTTGACCTGACCTGGTCAAGGTGCAGGGATGGTATTTTTATGGATTGTAGTCGAAAGTTCAAACCTTAATATAAGCCTAAGTGGTTCTATCACAGTAGGTACTCAAACTTCGCCAAAATCAGTTTTTGCTATTCAACAAATGACTATCAGTGACCATCAAGTCAAGGTGCAGGAATGGTATTTTCTTGGATTGTAGTCGAAAGGTATCACCTCTTCTTATTTGCTAGAGCCTCTTCTTATTTAGCTGAAAGGTATCACCTCTTCTTATTTGCTAGAGCGTCTAAAATACTGCAAAAAACGCGAGTTTTGTACACTTTGATCTCGTTTTTCTCAAATTCTGGAGCTGTTAGAAACTTATGGATTCGTAATTAAGCCTTTCCCATTTTTGTTGGCATGTGTAATATACAGTTATTATAAAATTCCAATTTTGTGGGAAAACGCAATCAAAACGACAGATGGAAAGACCCATATCTTCGCCATTTTTGGGAAATTTAGTCATCTGTTAATTGTATGATGAAATCTCAGAAAACGTAAATTTTGAATTATGTACTTCTCTATATTATTAAACGTGCGATTGTTCATGTATTTTTTCATACCCTACAGATGAAGATGACATTTACCATGAAAAATTACCGAATATTTGTAATGCCTTAAAGAGATCGGCAAAGAATTGTTGCACCCTCACAACGGCAAGGAAACGTTTCCCCATCATAAACTGGTTGCCAAAATATAAATGGAAATTTCTCATACAAGATTTAGTTGCGGGTCTAACGGTGGGACTAACCGCCATTCCACAAGCGATCGTCTATGGTACAATAGCGGGTTTAAGTCCACAGTATGGCTTGTACTCGGCATTTATGGGCTGTTTCATTTACATAATCTTTGGCAGTTGCAAGGATGTTACAGTTGGTAAGTATGAGTAGAAGAAAAACATATCACACCCAAAATCAAAAACAGTCACAACTCAAAAACCCCAAAGGTTCAGGAAACGCAAAAAACTGTACAATCGATGCAAGCGGCAAAAACAGTTTACGAGTAGTGTTTTTCCAGTTAAAGAAGATAATGAGAAAAAATTTGGCGGACGATAGAAATAGGGTCCGTAAACTATTTTATGGGAAAAATCGATTTTGGAAAATTTTGAGTTTTGACTGTTTTCGATTTAGGGTGCGATATGTATGTATATTGATAACACAAGGCATCTTTATGTACATCAAACCCATGATACTTGTATATGGGCAAATCTAATAGGTACTAGATTAATTTTTAAATTTTTGAGCACACCTATGTTTTATATATCATTTTATTCGTATTCTCTTAATAAATCGATTAATATAAGTGTAATTCATTTTCATCAAGCGCTTCAAAAGTTGAGGAGGTGAGGAATAGACATGAAATAGAACACAAAAGAATAAGGTGGGTTCAAATTACGTTGTTCAAGTTGTAAATTTTGAGCAAAGATTTTGAAAGTTGAGCTCACTTAATTGGGACGTTCTAAATTCAATGGCATCCCCCGTTTTACCGGTTTTCGAGATAACGGTATTTGAAAATTTTATTAAATTTTAATTTTTTTATGAAGTTATTTTACTAAAATTTTGCACATAACGGTTTTTTAATATTACCTTAATTATTCCTTAAAATTATCGAAATGGGTGCACCTTAAGGTATAGATCCAATACAACTGATTACTCAGATATGTGTTTTTGCACTATAACTCTAACTTCATATCTGAATAATAAATTCTATGCGTGCTATATGTTAAAGTGAACCTATACTAAATTTTTACCTGTTTAATTGGAGGAGTTATAACGCAAAACAACGTCTCTGGACAATCAGTTGTATGGGAGCTAGATTTTATAGTGAACCGATTTCGATGATTTTATGACATTGTGAAGGAAATATTAAATTACGCTCAAGATCGCAGAATATTTTATCTTTAAAAGTTAGTTTATCTTGCTAAGGTATCAAATTATTCATAATTGTTTGTAGAATACAATACATACTTAAAAAGTTCTTAAAATTAAATGCTTCAAAAACTATACGCGATAAACCGAAAATTTTGAAAATTGTGAAATGTGGAGTTACAGACTTTGAGTTACTTGCCATTTCGTTAATTTTTAATGCACACATTCTTACCTACTACATATGAAGTATACACATAAGTGCTAAATGCCCATTAAATTTTTAATCAGAATATGGTGTGCTTCAAAAGTTATGACATAATTCATTTTGGCCCTCTTAAAAATTGCATAAAAATTCACTTGTTTTCATAATTTTTTTTAATTAAAAACCTATGTATAATTCAAAAGTTATGCAGCAAATTGATCCAAATTTTGTTTGAGGCTTCAAGTATACATCAATGAATTATAATTTATTTTGGAACGAATTTCCGTCATCCCTTGTCAAGTTTGGTTTGCAGACAAACCTGTTTCGGCATTGTGCCATCTTCAGTGTCATTTTTCGTTCTCCAGCTTGATATAGTTTCCAACAGTGAAAATAAAGCTAAATAACAGCAAGGCTACCTGTTTTTTAGATTTGCCCATATACGTACAGTCCCAGAAGATAATTTAGGTAGACCTTCTGATGTGAAGCCATTCTAAAAGGCCTGCCCAAGAGGGCCGAGAAAGGTGCTTGACTCTCAAGAATGCCTTTTGGAAGGGTTTTTAGCATTTTTTAAGCATTATTCAACAAAAAAAAAAGTATATATAGCAATTTATTAACATTGTCAAATAAATCTTCCTTAATTAGGCCCCACCGCCATTATATCTCTCATGGTTCAAACGCAAGTAGCAGGCAGCGCTGACTATGCAATATTACTCTGCTTTCTATCTGGTATTGTCGTACTTCTGATGGGTATACTAAATTTGGGAGCACTCGTGCAATTTATATCAATACCTGTGACGACAGGATTTAGCACAGCGGCAGCAATAACAATTGCCAGTGCACAAATTAATAATCTGTTCGGATTGACAAGTAAGTTTTTTTTCACATTATTAATAATTTTTGGTTGTTCACACGAAGGTTGCAGAAAATTTCACTTTCAGTTGAGTTACCAGACACTTTGATGTGAAAGAAATAAGAAAATATTTAACATTATAAGCATGCTCAAAAATATGGTTAAAGTATGAAAAAAAAGTTTGGACTTAATATAGGCTAGTGCATGAAAAAATTCTGGGATTGTAATTTAGAGAATCCGTACTTGGCATCGCGATTGAGATATTAGCGAAACGAATGTCATTTTTTCACCGAGGCTATTAACAGGCTCCTCAAAATGAAATCCCCTGAACATGTGGGAATTAGCAACCGATTACACTAGTTTACAGCAAAAATGTTCAGTGGATCCCTATAAAGAATTCCTCGCTGATTCCGAAAATCGACTTAATTTTTTATTCTATGGATAAGTTTTCAAGATATTTTCAATTTACCTTTATTCAGCTTAAAACCAAAAGTGGTTACACTTAATCACGTATATCTTACGAACCAATTTAACAATCTTAATATTAAATGCGACAAATGAAAGCTAACAAAATTCTACATGGACCGTATATACATCACTTTTCGATAGGTCTGATAGTTTCTGACAAATTAGTTAATCGTTCCAGACTTTTTGTCTTTTTTTTATGAAATAAAAGGATTTTTAGATATTATTTTTTATTATTTCTCTCAAATTCGCGATTACTTTCACACGACAACAATCGAATAGTTTGCCAGAATTTTCAGCAAAAATAAAAATTTGTGGTGCAGCACGAGCAAGTCGAAATACATTTTTGAAAGCGATTTGTGCTCATAGTCAAACTTTGCATGTTTATTTCTGAACATTTCTTTTTGGGTGTTCACACGAGAAGGTAGAGCCTCATATTCAATGTTTTTGTGTATAGGCTACTTTCGTCCTCATACATAGTCTAGTACATACCATGAATTTACTGTGTATCGTCGCTTCAGAAAACGAATGTCGAATGTGCAAAATCATTCAGCCTCATTGCGAGAGTCGTGCCGAATGCAAGTCGTTTTTCGAGAGTCGAATCGTATCGAAAATTTAGCGTCATTGCCTAAAATTTCCACTCGACTAGTGTATTAAAACGGAAGAACTTGGCAGCACTGCATAGTTTTCGACAATTTTCGTCGTTTACTTATTTCAGCACGACAGTAGACAATGCTAATGTTGTCGAGTCGTACAATTCAGCCTAATTTAAGACTTACGCAATGAGGCTGATTGTTTCCAATAACGACACAATTAAAAGTTTAAAAAATAAAAACTTTTACTACTTAAGAGACATGAGCCACTTAACAGTTAGGTTGTTCACACTTGCTTGGTTATCAGGTTATCTGGTTAAATATTATTATTCTGTAGTGTATTTTATTGTTGTAAACTGAATAAAAATATAACCACATAACCAGATAACCTGATAACCAGGCAAGTTTTGAACCTCAGTATTATTTAAATTTTGAATAGTGTCATTATTACAAATATGGTTTTGCACTTTCGACATTCGTTTTCTGAGGCGACGGTATGTACATATACATATGTAGTAAGTTTTAACACAATCGTACATTGGGTAATGTAATCGCGCACTGCTCTAGTACGTAAATACACACATACACACATATTTATGCATATATATACATATAAGTACTAATTAATTATCTAACTACAGGTCCCTCCAATGATTTCATAGAATCCTGGTTAAATTTTTTTACTCATTTAAAAAATACTCGACGAAATGATGCTATCCTAGGCTTAACAACATTAATTTTACTAATAATTATGCGAGTACGTTTTTTGGTTAAAAATAAACAGGATGCTTTTATTTATGTATATTATAAAATTTCATTCGCAGAAGTTGAAAGATATCCCCTGTTCCTATAAAACGATCACCAAGTACATATCATTGTCTCGGAATGCACTGGCAGTCGTTGTCGGCATCACTTTATGTTATACACTCAGTCATGAAAACTGGTTGGCGTTTCGGGTAAGTGGTGAAATTGTACCAGGCATTCCAACATTTCAGCTGCCACCTTTCCACACCCAAGTGAATGGCACAGATGTCAGTTTTGCTGGGATGATACAGGAATTGGGCGCCTCACTGGCAGCCATACCTCTAATTTCGGTGCTGGAGAGTATTGCTGTGGCAAAGGCATTTTGTGAGTACAAACATACTTCATACATATGTATACATATGTATGCATAAATGTAAACAAAACAATTCACTCTTTTTTTCAAATATTAATTCAATCTTGCATTGCAGCAATGGGAAAAATTGTAGATGCCTCACAAGAAATGATTGCATTAGGTATCGCCAATATAATGGGTAGTTTTGTTTCATCCATGCCCATTACAGGCTCATTTACGCGTACTGCAATCAATAATGCCAGCGGCGTTAAGACTACGTTGGGCGGTGCTTTCACCGGCATATTGGTTTTGATGACCTTGGCGTTCCTCACGGAAACTTTCTATTATATACCAAAGGCAACTTTGGCTGCAATTATAATAGCCGCCATGATATTTATGGTGGAATATGAAAGAATCGTCGAAATTTGGCGCGCAAAAAGTATTAAATTCTTTAAAAAAAAAAACATATCGCATACATACATATGTATATATTTCTGCATTACAGAGGTGGATATGATCCCTTTCCTGGTTACAGTGATTGTTTGTATATTTTGGACTCTGGAATACGGTATGGTCTGCGGCATCGTTGTAAATATGTTATTCATATTGTACAAAAGTTCTAGGCCCAAAATAGTCATTAGAAAAGAGAAGGTTCAAATATGTCTAACTAAACCAGCCAACTAAAAGTTAGCATAATAAAATTTCTTTGTTTATTTAGTTGCAAAAAGACACTGAAGTAGCCGTTGTGGATGTGCAAGAAAATTTAACCTACTCTTCAGCGGAATATCTGAAATCAAAGGTGATTAAATACATAACCATGCATGGTGAACACATCAAAATGGTAGTGATAAGGGGAGAGGAAATCTTTACAATTGACACAACAGTAGCGTTGGTAAACAATCTAGTCGCATATTGCTTATCAAATTGGGTATCCATTAGGCATAGCTAAAGCATAACTTTCTTTCATTTCACAGAATATTATAGCATTGAAAAAAGACTTGCAAGCCCTAGATTGTGACTTAGTGTGCTGGAATTGGCAAATATCTTCAGCTGGCGTGGTCTGTCGCTTACATCATGATGTGCGGAGTATGTTTAAGTTTACTAAAACACTGCAGGAGGTTATGGCGAGAGGCATCCAAGAAAGTACCATGACAATACAAACAGACAGTGACTCAATTGCGATACCGATATAATCCGAAGATAATTTAATTTTAAGTTTAATTATTAACCTACGAAATGATACTTTGAAGTGATGCGCCTTGATGTTGTCACACAAAAAGGAGGGTCGTACAGTTTTACGCCGACTCTGAACGGCGATTATATTTTTATGAGAAGCTGTCTTTCATGGCGGAATTTTGTATAGACATAAAAAATTAGACACTGCTTGTACCAAAAAAACTATTTGTTGGATCTCCTTAACCCATCACCGGCCAGATTGAAAGTATGAGTTGCATATATGTACAGCTATGGTTAATGATTTAACACCAAAATTCAAAATGATATTGTTTGTAACTTATGTTTATTTATTTATTTATAATAGTTTTCATTTAAAATATAACAGAAACCACACAAATGAAAGCTACTTACTCAGAAGAAAATTCTCCCATTAGGAAAAATTTTTATTTAAATTTTAAAGTATTGGTGGGCATTTGAAATTTTTCATGTAAATAACAAGTAAAAATATTTATTGTTATTAGAAATTTTATAACCAGGGAACGGATTTTATGGAAATTGCCTTTTTTCTGCTAAAGAGACAGAGTATATTCGATTAAGAAGGTAGACGATTTAGCTTTCCTTGCTTCCATATATGTATGTATACACATTTGATGTTGCCTTTTTTTGCCTATTGTACCTTTAAAAAATGTTTAAGCGAGTAAAAGTTTCAGACGTTCCATATTTAAATTGGGCGCCATTTGTATCAAATCACGTCGAGCACACGTTTAGTACATCCAAGGCTGTGTAAAAGCCTGTTCTGTTACAAAAAAATTAAGTTGATAATGAAGAAAATCGATGGATAAATAAAGAAGTAATAAGTGGTCATATGAAAGAGCGCAACGATTTTTTTTATAAGTGTATTCAGACTATACTCGTTAAGGTCTTAATTCGGTATTCGGCAACTCCCACCATTGTTTTGTTTATGTAAATTACCGAATATATCATTACCAACTTAACGAGGTCGCAAGTCTAATAATGTGGTAACACATGCGATAAAATGCCAGCTGTTTCCTTTCTGTCACATATTTGTTGGAAATTCCTTGTGCGAAAAGTGCATACATTTTATCAAAAGTTCAACAAACCCAAAAGGAATAAAGGGCGTTCGAAGTTGAAAGTCTTTACCGAGTTACCAGATAACGAATTAATACATTAACGAGTATAGTCTGAATACCCTTTATGAAAAATTAGCAGGAAAGAATGTTACTAATACGCCATGTACACCTGAAAATATCTCGAAAACTTATCCATAGAATAAAAAATTAACTCGATTTTCGGAATCAGCGAGCAATTCTAAATAGGAATTGGATATTGTGTAATTTTTCAGTTTTTGTCTCTTTTTAGTGACTTCTTTTGTCTTTTTTGCTATTTCTAGTACCTTTTTCTGCCTATTTCGCTATTTTATTTTACCTCTTCCAGCCTATTCCGTTATTTTATTTTGCTTTTTTTTATAGGGCTTTATTGCCTTCTATTGGTTGGCGCTATTTCCCCTTCAAAAAGGAAATAACACATATGGGCTTTATCTCTCTTTTTTGGGAAATAAAGCCCATGGGCGTTATTTCCACGGGCCTTATTGCACTCCACCGTTTTTAGGTCGTAAAAATTCGTTCCCTGGTTATAAGTATTGAACCGTTGGAGACAAAATTTTATTCCGAGCATATTCTTGTAGGGCATTCAATTATCTAAAAAATACCCTGAAGTAGTGCAATTATGTACATCGCCAGCAATATCCTAACTGCAATAAACTGAATTTTATTAACAACTAAAGAGAATATTAATTTTTTTAAATACAATAAAAAATAAATAAATGGATTAAAACTCTCTCTTCTCTGACAAATATAGTTCAAAATCCATATTTTCTATACATTTTGTATAATTTTAGTGTAAGTTTTTTCATTTACGTTTTTTTACTACATATTTCCAATAATAAAGCCCTAAAAGAATATATATATGCTTTTTTCGACTTTCATAGCCCGTAAGTACATACATACATTTTTGAGTCCTAACAGTTGATTGTCTTTTATAAGCAATCATATATTTAGAAACGTAGTATTATAATAATATTTCAGTTACTTTATCACATCAGTAATATAGAATTGAATAAATTCGTTTGAGCTTCCACCTAGCAAAGCGCCGTTACATTTAATACGAACGGCGCAAGTCTTTTCGATCAGCTGTTTAGGAAATGGAGGAAAATTGCCAACTGTTGAGCTGAGCGGAACTACTCAACTGTGCGTCTCTAAGACAAACAGTTTACGGTTAGACCAGTGGTGTAACTACATCATCTGAACAATTTTCAATAGACAGAAGTTACCTAGCCTGTCTTGTCCCATAGAATTTCTCAAATAGGTTTTTATTAATTTTAGTTTCGAAAATGATCGTTCAGCTGTAGGCAAAGGAATTGCAACAAATAAAATTAATGCAGTACATACTTTAGGAAAGCGGAACGATATAAAATAAAGTATATGTATATGGCCATTTCTAACTGTCGCGAACCATACGTTCGTGCGCTTTTGAAGTTCAAAAAACAAGGAAACATAAATTTGTGTAAATTTTGATGTTCCGATAGCATTTTGCTGGGTATGTATATCTTTGGTGCAAAAGGCATGATCTTTTGATTTTTATTTTTCAATATGTTAGCAACGGTCGCGAACGTACGAATAATAATGGAAGTCGCTTTTGCACGATGAAATATCTCTATTCGTTTTTATAGCCGAAATTATTCAAATCGGACTAAAATTACACCCGCTTCCCGTGTAACGATAAATTTCAGAAATAGGATAACTCCGATATTTCAATTAGGACGCTAATTTACTCCAAGTTAATAGTTGCAACAATCTCCTAACAATAAATAAGACTGCTATAGACTCTTTGAAATTGGGCTATTGGAATTGTAACTACAAAGGTGTACCTCGGTAACCACTCTATCGATTTGTACCTAACTAGGTTCAATTATATCATTAAGTCTAACTCTGCATATTATCGAAAACGTTTAAAATCGGGTAAACACTCTTACTTATCATGCAAAGGTAGTTCAGAGAAATTTTAAACGACGATATTTGATACCTGCACCGGGTATATAAAGTTCGGTTTCGCCCGAACTTATACTTCTTTAATTGTTTATTTATAAGCTTAAGTGTACGTGCCCTTTTTTATCACCAATGCAAGCGTTGTAGACCATTTCTACTATAGTAGGCCGCGCGTGTACTCCAGTGTTAAGTACAAGTTGCAAACGTATGGGTCGCGAACATACGATTTTTCATCATTTTTTATACCTTTCATGAATATGAAATGGTATTCAGCCCGATTGTGTAAATCGTAAATTAGGCTAAATTGTACGACTTGACAACATCTGCATTGTCGACTGTTGTGCTGAAATAAGTAAACGACGAAAATCGTCGAAAATTATGCAGTGCTGCCAAGTTTTTACGTTTTGATACACTAGTCGAGTGGAAATTTTAGGCAATGGCGTGAAATTTTCGATACGATTCGACTCTCGGAAAACGATTGCATTCGACACGACTCTCGCAATGAGGCTGATTATAAACTTGGTCCAATGTTTGTAAGTACCAGAAGAAGAATATATAGAAGATATAGACCCACATAAATGTTTGCCAAAATGATGAAAACGTCGGCTGAGTCGATTTAGCCAAGTCCATCTGTCTGTCTGTTTGAACGCAATTTAGTCCCTCAGTTTGCGAGATATCCGACTGAAATTTTGGTAAGCGAGTAATTTTTTATAATGCATTAATCATTTGTCAGAACTGTCAAAATCGGTCCACTATAACTTATAGCCCCCATACAACTGTTTGTTCATATGATCTTTAGTTGTGTCTCACTTTAATTGATTTTAAGTACTAAAAAGTTATAACTTGTAAGTACTTAGTTTTGTTAAAAATGTTAGGATATTTCTGAGCTCGCGGTCTCTTGGGCCGGGGCCCTCTCGGATCGGGGGCCCGTTGCATTCAGCCAGCCATGCCACCTATAGGTACGCTTCTGGGTTAGACAACAGCTACGTCTTATGAAAGCGCCCATTAAGAATTCTTTTCCTAGAAAAACCCAGGTGGCAACCCTCAAAAATATTTTCGGCAGTAAACTTTCCTAAACCTCTCCAGTTTGATACCCATATTGCAATATTTAATTTATCTTATCAGTTGAGTTTGAAATTTTAAACATCTGCCACATCTCCACAAATATATTTACGGCTGTAAGCCTTCTTAAACCTCTTTCTTTTGACAGCCATATTGCAATATTTACTTAATCTTATCAATTTACTCAAACTGAAATTTATAAACAGGTGCCAACTCCCAATTTCATGCGTTAGTTTTCGAGTGATGCGTGTACAAGCATACAGACAAAATTTTGGTTTGGCTTCTATTGCTCTAATAAAGACCCCTCATATTAATTTTTCTTTAATATCTATAATGTAGACATCGGCCTGTTACAGTTTTAATATACTTAAATATGTATAGATTAATGCCAATTATTGTTTGTATTTCAAAGCAGGGCTTCGGAGCGGTGCGGAGCGGAGCAAAGGAGCAAGGATCTAAGGAGCAAAGGATTTTAGCTGGAGCGGAGCTAGAGCAAAGAGCTAAAAAAGTTCATTGGCTCCTTAGCTCCTCTTCAGTTAATAAATTTACTGTTTTTTTTTTGACACTGAAAACTACCGAGCTAAATAAATTTCCATTCTATTTACATATTTAACTTGACAATTTTGTTAGTGCACAATCACCAAGTCAAGACAGCCACGTGAATTTCAACGGCGATATAGAAACCTCTATATCGTCGTTTAAAGTTCAAAACCGGGTATCGTCATTCTGCGAAACCGCGTAACTGACATTTGCTGCCAAAAATTGGATCTGCTCACACAAGCTCTTGGCTCAATCCTTATCCATTCGTCCTGAAATATACTAGCCAGAAATGCGATTGCTTTATAAAAAAATAACTATTTTGAAACATGAGAAATAATTTATGCAACCTCGCATACGCGGTTTTGCATTATTTTATTTTTTTTTTTTTGCGGTTAGGGCTCGATATGTAGTAAGTAAATAAATAAATAAAAAAGGTTTTTATTGGGAGCGGGAGCGCTGCTCGGAGGGAAATAAAATCCTGTGCTTCGAAGCCTTGTTTCAAAGGAATGGTAAAAATGATACATACATAATACTAAGAACGGGAACATACCTCTTTGTCAAAAGCCTACAAAACGCTTTCAAATAAAACATTTGCTTATTTGAAACTTTGAGTGCTTAAAGCAAGTGAAGTAAAGCTGTCATTTGGCCAGCCTTCATACGTTCTAGTATATTCCGAATAATTTT